AACTATGGTAAAATGTCTCCTATATCTCCTATATATTAAAAAGACTCCAGTGGAGCAATGGGATGCATCATTATTAATGTTGTTAATTACACCTGTGGTTTTCCCACTGTGACATGTCAAAATGTCTGCAGTGAAAAAGGTCTATTTTAACTTACTGACTACAAACCAACAGGCCTTTTTCATGGAAGACATTTGTCACGGCAAGAAAACAAATGGCTGAACTTCATTTCGTTGCTTCAGTTTCAGGGTCCTGGTATTATAGGCACAGCTAACTGAGACACTTGAACAGAACTATCCTTAATGTTATTAGTAACACTTGGAAAAAGGCATATCAGTAGAACTGATTAAACCAGGGCTCTCAAACTCCACTGGGTCTGGGGACACTGCTGGTATTGTCATCTCAAAGGAGGGCCATTTCAATGCTCAACTGGTGCAAACCGGTCTGACAGGATGCTAAAAAAAGCTAGAAGATTAAAGTAGGTGACAGGTAGCAGATCAACCTGTTAGTCATGCAAAGGTAAATAGATGTCAAAGCTATATTAAAATGACTCAACATTACTAAAGAAGAGCTGTCAATTGACATCATAACAACCAACGTGAGATTATATCAGTTTTGGTCATTTCTGGCTCACTTGGTGCAGTCAAGAAAAACTGGGAAGTGTCTGACACATTCCTGTTGTGTATAGTTGGTAATCAGTATCAGGAAATATGGAGAAATGTGAAGGAAGACAATGAAGAAATTGCACAACGTGCTTGTTCCCTACATGTTCAAAACACCTTTCAGTTAAACAATTACACAATCTTTGTTTTCCCTGTCCTATTTTGTGTTTGTTGTACAGTTACTTCAAGAGACTGCGTTGTCTGACTGAGAAAGAGAGGAGGAGTGCGAGGCTTAGCGAAAAACACAAAAGGTCCGTAACAGACCCAGAAGGGCCTGGCTGGAAGGAGCAGGGCCAGTCTGTGGCCTGGAAAATTAAAGCTGAACAAACACGCTCCACACGATTATAATGAGCCTGAACAAGCACGGTCAGACTCAGGCAGGCGACACTCGTGCCTAAAGCTAATAACCTGTGTAGTTGTGTGGGTAAACAATACATCTACTGCACCATCAAACTGCTATTCCTGATAGCTTAAAGAAAAACAATCCATCCACATTGGAAATTAAACAGTGTGTTCGTGGAAAAGGGCTGATCCTTACTGTAACTGCAATGTTGATCGTAGGTGTCTACTGGAATATTTTCTTGCTACACATTAGGGCTGTGTTTCAGAAAGAATCTGACAATACATGAGGTTACGATGTATTACGATACTGTAAGGAAGGCAATACTGTCATATAATTGTTAGTATAACAAATACACCATATATATGAGTAAAAACAGTTTACTTTTTTTATGCAACCAGAGCAGTGGTTTACAAAACTACTATATATTTAGTGGTTGAGAGTTTAAACACAAAAATCTATAGTGTTTTCAAGAATGGACAGAATATCACAAGAGTGAGTGTTGAGTTTTTTTAAACGTTGCTTTAGTGCTATAGCCACTAAATTCAGTTTAGAGAGGAACTGATGTGCACATGTTGTCAGAATGTCCTTACAACTGAACAATGCCTTTAAGAATTCTCTTAGAGGCGACCACTTTTTGAAAAATGGTGAAAAACCTATTTGAAGAACCTTTTTTTTGAGGTTAACCAAACATACACCATATTTGTTGAAAACAAACTGCAACTTGCAGAAGTGGTGAGAAAGTGTTTTGAGTTTAAATGGCTTAGAGAGAGAGTGGGAGCGGTCTATACAAATATAAAGGGGCAAACACAGTAAGACCAAAAAAAGCCTCCTTGCTGCAAGAAATAATACAAGATAACTTTTGAGCCCAATCATATTCTTTTTCATTCCAGACAAATTCATGCAAGCAAAACATAATTCTAATAAAACTTAATCCACAAGTCTTCCACTGAGGCAAGGTGGCACGTATTAACGCCATCTCAAAATCACATAACTGCACTAATAACCTTGAACAAAGCAGCCTTTAATGAATTTCAGTGGAGACTGGCTTGAAAGAATCAAAGCCTTTCTTTCTTTCAATAAGCAAGGTTAATGTCTAACACCCCCCCCCAACCCCAAACACACACACACACACACACACACAGGTTATGTCAACAGACAGTATATTACAGATTTGGTCTAAGGAGACACCAACACCTACAGGGCAAAAATACAGTATCCATTAGTTCCATTCTGTGATGTTAAATTGTCTCCTTTTCTTTTTCTGACACACACACACACACTCACACTCACACTCACACTCACACTCACACACACAAAGCCATCAGGTCAAAGTAGGACAGGAAAAGCGAGTGAGATTTGAAGAATGAGACCAGAGCGGAGGTTGCTGGTTCAAGGTCAGAGTCAGATGAATGTGGAGATACATTTGTTCCAAAGATACTGACTGATATAATTTCACTATGTGCCTTGAACTGACCTAAGACATCAAATCAATGCAAGCTGTTAATAACTGACTATGAGTTGTTCATTACACATTGTCACAAACTTAGTGTAAGTGGAGGGATAACCTTTTCTGATTTTCTGTCCCTTCCCGCTGAGTATCACTGAACTCTTTGGCATGGTGTCAAACCTGCCATACCAGCATGAAATGAATCCTGCCACTGTGTTTGTGTGTGTGAGCGTGCCTTCTCTCCACATGCATTAAGGCCGGTGTCTATTTCTGCCCCACTCACAGTTCACAAAGCCTTGGTTAAGACAAATCAAATAGCATCCGAGCTTGGAGCACCAAACAGGACAGCATGATGTGTGTGTGGCGGGGGGAGGGGCAGAGAGAGAGTGAGAGAGATGCCAAGGGCAAGTGATGGCCAAACTATCATCACCCAGGGCTCATTTAGCAAACCGCCTCTGTTTTTGTGTGTCTGCCTGCCTGTGTGTAAAATCATGTTATCGTACATCATGAGAAAAGTGCTGCAGTGGAGATACTGAACTGTTTCATATTTTATGGCACATAAAACAAACTGTATGTACAGTTTTGGTGATACTGGGGGCAAAATTTGACTTCCCCCCCCCCCCAATGTTGAGTATAAATATGCTTTACAAAACACCTGAGTCAGTTAATGAAACAAATCAAATCATCTGCATTAGTGTTTAATTGTGTTTGACCATAAACAGGAGTGCAACTTTTCCCAATAAAGTATAAAATTAACAAAATGATCGATTCAATCTGTAAATATCTCTTTAAAATAGAAAAACTAGACTAATTACTGATGTCAACATTCAGTACTTGACCATTTTATTACTCACCCTAACTCTCGTTGCGTACATTAGTATAATGTAGTATAATGGCATTTGACGTACCTATTTAAGCTTACCCGACGCTGGCTTCCTGTCTCAAATGAAATCATCAATTATTCATACATGTATACAGTCTAATATCAGTAAAAAAAACACTATCTAAATGATATGAGTCAGTGTTGCGTTTATGTGCGTGTTGTACTATGGAGGGATCAGTACTGCATGGGCAACTCCTCACTGAGCAGATGTCCCAAACGTGTCCTCCAAGCAGCTCATGAAGCCACAAGCCAATATTGACACACCAGTAACTGCAGGCAGATAGTGTTACCTGCGCTCCCGATGCTGCACTGCCTCCAGAAGATAACAGCAGGATACCGAGTCTTGCCACAAACGCAGAATTGTGTTGTAGTGTGTGACACAAGACTTTTCGTAAGAGATGGAAGGAATATTTCAAAACAGGATCATGTGTTTGGCGTGCCTGCGGAGCTGACAAGTCATGTCAGCTTCAGTGGATTCAGAAGGCTGATTTGTTTACAGCCACAAGAATGCTGGGTAATCTTCACACAGACACTTGCTTAGTCATCCGATTTCTTTTTGTTACCACGAATACATTGTTGTCGTTGTGTTTTACTCAATCACCGACGTCATCCAGAAGAGGCGATGAAGGATGGTAAAGAGTTACGTGATGGCAATTCCAGTTGGTAAACCTGCGTGCAATGAGGAAAGGACCTTTGATACTAAAGGCTCGTGGACTTTAGTCTCAGCCATTGACAGTATATGGTCTCAACAGAACAATGCAAACCGGCTCCAGCACAAGGTAGACCACAATGTGCCAGGTGCTGTTGTCATCAGCAGCACTGTCTTTGTAATGACCGTGGCACTGGCAGGTTTCTCTCAAACCCTACCAGAAACATAAGGATGAAACCGGGGATTTAATGAAAGTCAACTAAAACTCTACTTACATTTGAACGTCAGGGAATTAAAGTTACATCCACATTTTGTGACTACAGTATGGTGTGAGTGAGAGAGTCAGTAGTTACACACAGTAGCCTATACAATCTGTGAGACTCAAAAGTGAGTCATTATTGTCAGTGCTTAGTCTACCCGCAGGACCACCAGGAGGAGACTCTTTACCTGTACACCTTTAAACACTCATCACGGTCATAAACACCACCGTTGAGCCCACTTTTATTCTGCACTCAGTTGGCCTCGCTAGCTACATCCCCTCTGTTGCCATAGGATACGACACATGGCTGGAGGAATTCATAAAGCACACAGACTGGCTTCCCGGTGTTGTACTGAAGGTACGTTAGTTTCCACAGTATTAGTGGGGACAAGTAAAGTTTTGTTACATTATCCGGACATGCAAGCACTGAAACATGGCTTAACTTAACTTACGTAACGTTACGTTAACTAACTACACGGAGAGAGAGAGAGGGAGACATTCCGCGACAGCAGCCTCTCTCATTCCCGTCGCCAGGCAGTCGACTACTACTACTACTGATGTCAACCGAGGTTTGCAGTCGCTTCTCTGTGAGACAAAACTTCAGCCAAAAGAAAGCGGGGCCATAGCAAAGCCAGGCGACTCCTGACACCCAGTAGTTACCCTACAAGCAAGTGTTTGTCCCAACTGTCAAACAACGCCGAGATCAAGGTTTTCCAACCGCGAACAAGTTTAACCGCTTCTCAACAAACTGAGACTTACCTCTTCCGCCGAGCTTGGAAAGTGTGTTGTTGGTGGCGAGTTTGTACCGGGTCTGGTTTTTCCCGGAGGTTCGACTTCTAGATCCTCGTTGGTGTTTAAGGAAGTGTTCAAGTCGGCTGCTGTTAATTCAGTCAGTC